TAAGTAAATAAATAAATAAATGTGGATATAATATTGTTACCGAGATTATACTTATTAAAGCATACATTTGTATTGAAATTGTATTTGTGATTACCGATTTTTTGTTCCCTAGTTGTCATCCTTCAAGGAAAAATGAGTTGTGAGTGTTTGGGCAGATGTGAAGACTGGGAACCTCTTTGTTTATTGACAGTGATGGCTATGGGTTCCCAATGCTCTTCCTTGGCATGTAGTGAGACTTTGTGGCCAAATTACTTCTGAAACCCTTCTGCTTGAAAAACCTCTCACTGTATGGAAAGAAGGAATGTTGTTTGAGAAGCAGAAATTCAGGGCACCTCTTAGAAAAACAGAACAAACTGCACAGTTCTTAAGATCTTGTCTAAGTTATTGGCTCCAAGCTATCTTTGTATGTCTTCTCTGAGTGATGGATGTACAGATTTTGAATCAGGATTAAACTGAAGCTCACATTCCTTCCACATTAGTTGGATATATTTATTCTGTGTTTCACTTACTGAAAAACTTAATCTGGCAATTTATTGCTCACTATGGGCTAGCAAATTGTTGCTGCTAGATGTACTGTGGAAAATTCCAAGTTATTTCCTATGTAGAGAAAGGTAATGTCAAGAAAATTTCTTTACAGGTTGTTTCTGTATGGACATAAAAATCATTAATTGCAAGATATCTTTTGTACAACATTTAGGAAGAGCTATTTTCAATGAACAAGGGAGCACTTCATTAGGTTCAAAGAAGAAAGTTAGTAGATTGATCCAAGCTGAGTCAAGTAGTGCTCTTAGCTTGGTTGTTGGCAGCATTTCTTGGCATAGGAATGTGCACTTCTTTCGTCGATTGGACTTTGCAGAGACCTTAATCATGCCAAGAAATTAAGTCACTGTAATCCACCAGCACTGAAGCACGCTGGGTCTCACTAAAATGAGTACGGCTTTTGTGCGCTTGCATCTAGTGATGGTCCTAGATGGTTAATAATATATTACTTAACTTTTAATGCTTGTGCAGCTTTTCTCATCTGAGAGATTAGGGTACAGACTGGCAAAAACAGGATGCTTATCTTTCAGAGGATCTTTTCTTTGTACCTCTTGCATCCTTCCTCTGTCTCAGCTGTGACTCTGTGGTATTGCTGGTTCCTTCTGTCTGTGTTTTGAAAGTCAGCTATATGTGAGAGCATCTAGTTCAAGAGTGGGAGGCTTTTGAGTCATGCTGAATAGAAGCTGGGGCTTCTTTTGGCACAACAGTTAGTTTTGGAAACTAACTAGGCAAGACAGGTGAACAAGGAAGAGTTGGACTTCCTTAATCTTTCAACTATCTCCCATGGAATTATTAGAGTAAATATCCCCATGTGCTATGAGGGAGCATGATAGCTCCTTTGCATACCAGTTAGATTAGGGAAAATCTTATATTGTGAGCTATATGTGTGTAAATTATGATGTTATTGTTTATTGTTCGCATTTTCGGTTGTGTCTTGGTTTTTCTTTATTGTAATTGTTGTTTTGGGCTTGGCCTCATGTAAGCTGCTCCGAGTCCCCATTGGGGGATGGTGGTGGGGTATAAATAAAGATTGTTGTTGTTGTTATTATTATTATTATAAAGTGTGTGAGAGAGAAAGTAGGGCAGAGCTATCCACTTAAACCCTGATTCTGCTCATTCATTCCCTTGCCCCCAACCTTTTCTTTTTTAAAAAAAATACATTTTTATTAATTAAAATCAAAAATTTACAATATTATAAAATAGCAAGGTGGGATAAAAAGAGGGATCATGAAGGAAAAATTATCAAAAAGAAGAAAGGAAAAAAGAGGAAAGGAGGGGGAAGGGAATAGAGAAATGGGGGCAGGGGGGTTGACTTCCAATCTTCTTCATTGTGGTCAGTTATTATCCTTAGTTCACTCTTTTATTTGCCGCTTCCCCTTTCACTTTACATTCCTGTAAGACAAATCTCTCATATTTCCATTCTCATCTTTTCTCGTCTCATATATAATCTCAGAGGTAGCCACTCCGTGGCCTTCTTAGGTGAACCTTGAGGTTTCTCTAATAGCTAAGTTAATCTCTCCATATTCATGATTTCCATAATTTTTATCATCCACTGATCAGTTATTTTTATTTCTCCAGTTCCTTGCATAGACTATTTAGCAGCCATTACAAAATAGCTGGATAATTTTGTCTTTATTTTTGTCCATTTCCATATCAGTTATTCCTAACAAAAAGTATTCTGGTTTCATCTGTATTTTTATGTCCAGAATTATTTTCTCTTGAATCTCCCTCCAGTATCTCTTTGCTTCTCCACAAGTCCACCACGTATGGTAAAAACTGACAACATGGGATTCACAACTCCAACATTTATTTTGTGTATTTTTATAGTATTTGGCCAATTTGGGGGCGGGGGGTGGATATACTATTGGTACATCATTTTGTACCCATTCTCCTTCAAATCATAAGGGAATGTGTATTTTAATTTATAATTTCATATTCTTTCCCAACCCTCCAATTTTATTGTGTGGCCCATTCATGCTGCCCAGTTGACAATACAGTCTTTCACTTGTTCTGCCTCTGTGCTCCATTCTAACAGTTTCTTGTAAATTTTCCTTATTACTTTATTTTCTGATATCATGATTTTATCCCAAAGAAGTCCTTTCCAGCAAATCCTATAGGTTTGTCTTCGTTGTAGTATTTTTTAACTGTCTATATTGAAACCAAGAAATATTCTTATATATTTGATTAATTTCTTCTTGGGTTTTTAGAATATAATTTCCTTTCTCTTCCTTCAATATTTCTTTTCTATGCAGCTTCTAAATGGTTAACCACAAGGGATGTAATCTATGAGACTTGAATTTTCCACCCTGATTTATTTATTTATTATTTATTTATATTTACTACATTTGTAGACCGCCCTTCTCAGCCCTAGGGCGACTCACGGCGGTGTACAACATATAAAAACCAGGTACAATTTCAACAAAGCAATTACACATCAACAATAAACAACAGCACTATCAATAATACAGTTACACTAAATCATTCGCCACGTCTCATCGTTGAATCATAATCCGAATCTCATTATCCATGTTCCGTTCTAATCGTCATTGCCAATTGTTGCAGCACTTACGCAAACGCCTTCTCAAAGAACCACGTCTTTAGTCTCTTGCGGAATGTCATAAGGGAGGGCGCCACTCTGATGTCCACAGGGAGGGTGTTCCACAGCCGGGGGGCCACCATCGAGAAGGCCCTATCCCTAGTCCCCGCCAGGCGTGCCTGAGAGGCGGGCGGGATCGAGAGAAGGGCCTCCCCGGACGATCTCAAAGTCCTCGTGGGCTCATAGGCCGAGATGCGGTCAGGCAGGTATTTTGGGCCGTAACCGTTTAGGGCTTTGTAGGCCAACACCAGCACCTTGAATTGGGCCCGGTAGCAAATCGGCAGCCAGTGGAGCTGGTACAGCAAGGGCGTTGTGTGCTCCCTGCGTCCCGCTCCTGTTAGTAACATGGCTGCTGAGCGCTGGACTAGCTGGGGCTTCCGGGCCGTCTTCAAGGGCAGCCCCACGTAGAGAGCGTTGCAGTAGTCCAGGCGGGATGTGACCAGAGCGTGTACTACCGTGGCCAAGTCAGACTTCCCAAGGTGCGGGCGCAGCTGGCGCACGAGCCTAAGCTGTGCAAATGCTCCCCTGGTCACCGCTGAAACCTGGGGATCCAGGCTCAACGATGAATCCAGGATCACACCCAAGCTGCGAACCTGCGCCTTCAAGGGGAGTGCGACCCCATCCAGCACAGGCTGTAACCCTATACCCTGTTCGGCCTTGCGACTGACCAGGAGTACCTCTGTCTTGTCTGGATTCAATTTCAATTTGTTCGCCCCCATCCAGACCGTCAAATGCAATGATCCATTGCATTAAAACAAATTTCAGACCTCTCATTGTATTTTGCATTTCTGCCAAATGGGTGGAAGCCATAAGAGTATGCGTACAAAAAAAGAGAATGTGGTGCAATTTCATGCTTCTCCCTTGTATAGAGAGGAAAAACAGTTTTGGGTGAGACATACCTTTCCTACCTGCATGTTAAGTTGTTCTCAGTTACAGCTAAATTGGTCTGTTAGTTTATTCTTACCATAAGGCAGAGCTTTCCAAACATTTCATGTTAGTGACACACTTTTTGGAAACACATGATTTTGTGACACAGTAATTCAGTTTTACTGGCAAACCAGAGGTTAAACCAATCCCTTCTAAGAGATATGGACACATACATAAATTGTAGTAACAAAATGTATGGGGACACAACATACCTCATGAAAATATTTCATTTATATTTTTAAAAATATATGATTAGTAATATAATAACATAAATTTCCAAGATTTTTATTCTTTCAAGCATGACACCCCTACACACTGCAGCCGACACACTAACGTGTCACAACACAGAGTTTGGAAAGCTCTTACATAAGGGTTTGTAATTCATCTTACAGATCAACTAATAGCTGTTTAGCCATAGTGTACTAACCAGTCGAAGCAAGGTGTAAGTTGTATGTTTAGACCTACATTTATGAACCATAGCAGCTTCCAAGTGATTTATAGATTGAAGAAATAGATATTTGCTTATTGCATACGCATATTTGTCCCATAGATTGAGTTCAGACTCTACGAAGCTTTTTTATATTGAGTTTGACTGCTGATCCATTTCATTCAGTTTGTCTAAAATGCTAGAAGTGATATTTCAGATTTTACAGTCTAGCTGAAAGATGCTGAAGATGAATTGGTACCTTTTGTATATGAAAAGTGGGTCTGCACTTGAACTACCAACTGTTTTTGCAGGTTTGATCTTTTGGTTCAGGAACAGTTGGCTTTCTTGGTCTTATATCTATGTGAGTTCAAGCCTCAGGTTGAATCTTGTTACAAAAACAGAACTGATGTTCTCTCTGATGAAGTTAGAGGGATACAGAGAGGCCTCAGAGCCTTTGGAAATTATAGTAATCTTAAAACCAGCAAAATTGCCTTCTTTTTCTGTTTACAGATGGCTCAGAGCGATTTCTTTGTGAATCAGTTTTCAGCTACCAAGTTGCATCCACACTAAAGCAAGTGAAACATGGTAAGTATTTGAACAGAATATAGAATGCCAATGAATACTTTCATAGCTGAGGTTGCATAATATTCTAATGAATGCCTTGCTGTGAACAACCAAAAAATAGAGTAGTAATCTAGTTGATCTCTAATTAGTCTGTTGGCACAATGCTATCTTGTGTAACAGCATTACAAGAACAATGTTTTATCTATGCAGTGTACTTATTAAGGAGATAAGTTTTGTAACCATACTTTATAATGCGTACATAAGAAGAGCTTTATGAATACTATTTTCACACTAGGATCCCTTGTGAGTCGTAAATGTACTGTAAATATGTCTGACCTGAGGTCAGTTATTTCATATCAGATCTTGCTGTCTTTTCTCCTTCTCCCTCCTGACTGTATGATAAACGGAGATCAGTTAGTGTTTCTAAAGTGCCATCAAGATGGAAAAGATCTGTGTCATGTCTTCATAGCTTTGTGGAAAATGTGCTATCTGGTTAGATTGACCTTTTTTGTTTTGTGAAGTAAGATAATTTATTGTGGTAACCATATTCTGTGGTCTAGAGATTAGAGAAGAGCCCTCTAGAAGCAATCACGAACCAAGCAGATTGTACTGTATTAGATAACTTTTCAGAAGTTAAGCATCCCTTTAAATCATCATCTTTACAACACAAAAGGGGTTTTGTTGATGTGTGCTTCCTGGGACTAAAGGGTGGATTTCGATTATGTAAACCGACCTTTGCTTTCATTTGGGAAGGCATCCAGAGTGCAGTAGAATATAAGGACTTTGCTTTTGAAAGCCTTTTGGGCTTTCCCTGGGCAATTGACTGCTCCACACATCGAAGCAGGATGTTCACAATCATGTGCTCTTAAGGTCAAGTTGCCCAGTTATTTCTCTGGCATGTTAAAATATTGTTATAATGTTTGTTCACTTACTTAATGCACTGGATCTGCATTCTGTTAAACATCTTGGTGTGGCATGTGACTTCTTTATTTTGCTTCTGAGGTCTTTTTTCTGAAGGCATGTGATCTTCATGATTATATGGGCTATATAATAATGAATTTGAGAGGTGAATCTACATCAATATTTTTTTCTCTATAGAAGATAAAAATAGATGTAGAAAACATCTATGTGTGTTAAACAATTTAGATAGCATCATGAGGATATAGGCATAAATATAGTGCAGCTAACAGAGGCATTAACTTTTGTTGCAGAGGCCTACAAGAACATTATAAAGAACATTTCTTAGACCTGAACATGTCATTAATCAGCTTAAAAATACTTCTCTTATTTTGAACAAGTGAAGTTTGGCTTCATCTTTCCGATGAAGCCAATATTGTTGTTCATTCGTTCAGTTGTTTCCGATTCTTTGTGACCTCATGGACCAGCCCACGTCAGAGCTCCCTGTTTGACCCCTAGCTCCTTCAAGGTCAATCCAGTCACTTCAAAGATGCCATCCATCCATCTTGCCCTTGGTCAGCCCCTCTTCCTTTTTCCTTCCATTTTCCCCAGCATCATTGTCTTCTCTAAGCTTTCCTTTCTTCTCATGATGTGGCCAAAGTACTTCATCTTGGCCTCTACTATTCTTCCCTCCAATGAGCAGTTGGGCTTTATTTCCTGAAGTATGGAATGGTTGGATCTTCTCGCTGTCCAAGGCACTCTCAGAACTTTCCTCCAGCACCACAGTTTGAAAGCATCTGTCTTCCTTCGCTCAATCTTCCCTATGGTCCAGCTCTCACATCCCTAGATGACTACGGGGAATACCATTGCTTTAACTATGTGGATCTTCGTTGCCAGTGTGATGTCTCTACCCTTCACTATTTTATCGAGATTGGACATTGCTCTCCTCCCAAGATGTAAGCGTCTTCTGATTTCCTGGCTGCAGTCTGCGTCTGCAGTAATCTTTGCACCTCGAAATACAAAGTCTGTCACTGTCTTCACATTTTCTCCCTCTATTTCCCAGTTGTCAATCCTTGTTGCCATAATCTTGGTTTTTTAATGTTTAACTGCAACTCAGCTTTTGCGCTTTCTTCTTTCACCTTGATTAGAAGGCTCCTCAGCACCTAATGAATGCAACAGTTAGGTTTTAAAAGAATTGTCAGTATAGAGAAGTGAAATGGAATCTATAAAAGTATTTAGAGCAAGAACATGATACATTGGTTTTCATGAAGATGGGCATGAGGGAAGTGGGAATTGGGGAAAATATAAACACACTGCCTTGCTTTCTAAAATATTGTTATAATGTATGTACCAATAACTATGAAGTATACAGTTTGAATAAAAATAAATATATTAGAAACAATTCAACTGTGTGTGGCTTCAAACCAGCCTAGTGAGATATGGAATAAAATGAACTTGTAACCCATTAAATAATTGCCTGCTATAAAAACCATTCGTGGCTATTAATGCAAAGGCTTAATGGAAAGTTGATTGCAAGTGATTATTAATTTTCTTTTGCAGATCAGCAGGTTGCTCGGATGGAAAAACTTGCTGGTTTGGTTGAAGAACTGGAGGCAGATGAATGGCGGTACAAGCCCATAGAACAACTGCTGGGGTTCACACCTTCATTGGGTTGAAAGTTCAGCATCTGTAGGTTTGGAAAGAGAAAGTACCTGCAGAACTCTGCTTTGAAACATTGCATTAGTCTATGTAATAAAAGAACAATCAATTTCTGATGTCTAAGATCTAGTAAAAGGTGGCCACAGAACAGTTTTTAAAAATTCTTCCCAATTTTCCAGCAACTCGTTTTAGGAGGGTGTGATTTCTGTAAGTAAGGAAATGTCAGTTTTCACAGAAGAGACTGTTTGCTTAAAAGGGAAGGGATGGCTATAAAAACTTACAGCCCTTTACACTGACCTTGCAGCATGTATGCTGACAGCTAGCTGTGTAATAGGACCCTTGTTACTGTTCATGTTAAAATCCTGGAGGGAAGAGTAAAAGAAAGGTAATAAGGCTTTGGCCGTGAGCAGTTCCTTTGAATATGAATAGGGCAAGACAATAGGATAGGCAGGAGAATGTTAACTGTTTCCTGTATTTAGATACTCTGTTTTTTGCTGAATCTGTATTTTCTCAGCTGTTCCTTTTTCAAATGTATGTGGAACTATTAGCAGCAGAGGATGACTGCTATTAAAGACAGCATGAATCTCTGTTAAAGAGGCATTGGCTGTCATTTCTGTTTGTTCCAATGAATTTGGACTGTTTGTTTGCCAAATAAATTATTACAACTATTACTATGATGTCTGTTCCAAGTTTTTTTTCAGGCAGTTGGGGGAAGGAAGAATAAAAATCAATTAATGCCAGCCTGAGTTTCTGTAATGCAGTTCTCTGCATTTAAATGTTTTCAAAAAGATTCATTTCAGAAGGATGATTATAAGCAGTGATTACAAGGAAATCAGCACAACAGTTTCTTTTTGGATATTTAATTGGCTGCATTAAAAATGAACTATTGCATCTAAAACAGATGCATAGTGTGTATTCTATGAAGGAGGTGGCCAATCTGATGTCCCTGGGGAGAGAGTACACATCTTATAGTACTGCTGAATTCTAATCTGAATGTGCTTGAATTGAAAAACAAGGTTCATGCTCCCGCATGCCTTGTTTCACAGGAAATTTGGAAGGAGGGGTTTGGTGGTACCAAGGTAAATTAGATATAGGTCCCAAGTTGGGCAAAGAGCAATGCAGTATCTTTAGAGTTAACCATCACTCCTTAGGGGCAGCAATCTTTGAACTTCTTGATGTGTTTTTCCCTTTCTCTCTGTCGATAACATATTAGCACATAATGTAACAACCTGCCTGGCAGTATGCCTAGTCTGATGTTTGCTACGGTAAACACCGAGAGATTGAACTGCAGGATGGCACAGGAGAACCTCTTACAGTGTAAGAGCATGGAGTGCAAGCTGTTTGTTTATGTTTTATTTTATTTACTGTATTTATACCTCAACGTTCTTATCCCATTCTTAGCCTTACAATTGGGAAACAATTCAATTTATTATTTATTTATTTACTACATTTGTACCCTACTCTTCTCTCCCCCAAGATGGGGGCTCAGGGCAACTTCACAACAAGCACCATTCGATACTATCACCATCATAAAAACATTCAACAAATATATTAAAAGACATTTTAAAAGTTTAAAAACGATTAATTAAACACGCCAATTGAAATTTGAATCCCAGTCCGGGTCAATTCATTGTCATGAGTTGCTTAAGTCTTCTTCTCACTTGCTGCTATCCAAAGGTCAAACGCTTGGTCCCATAGCCAAGTCTTGAGTTTCCTTCTAAAAGACAGGAGGAACTCTCTGCCCTGGAGTGTGGTGGAAGCTCCCTCTTTGAAAGCTTTAAAACAGAGCTGGATGGCCATCTGTTGGGGGTGCTTTGAATGCAATTTTCCTGCTTCTTGGCAGGGGGTTGGACTGGATGGCCCATGAGGTCTCTTCCAACTCTATGATTCTATGAGGGAGGTAGCCAATCTGATGTCCCTGGGGAGAGAGTTCCACAAACGGGAGCCCATTGTTGAGAAGGCCCTGTCCTTGCAATGGCGGTGGGATCTCCAGTTGATCTTAAACTTCGTGATGGTTCATAACAGGAGATACATTCAAACAGGTAGTCTGGGCCAGAACCATTTAGGGCTTTAAAGGTTAAAACCAGCACTTCAATGCTGCATAAACAGACCTACAACTAAAATATATATGTACACTAGCCTTCCCCTGCCACGTGTTGCTGTGGCCCAGTCTGTGTATATGTGCTTTGTGTGTGTATATGTGTGTATATGTGTGGTTTTGTGCATGCGTTGTAATGTATGGGTTTTTTTTTGGCTTTTTAAGTCCCTTCCGCTGTGTTTTTCAGTGTTTATAAAGTGAAGGACACTCGTTGGCCTAATATGTGTATTGTGTCCTAATTTGGTGTCATTTCATCCAGTGGTTTGTGAATTATGTGAATCCCACAAACGAACATTACATTTTTATTTATATAGACTAGCCGTCCCCTGCCACGCGTTGCTGTGGCTCAGTCTGTTGATCTGGAAAATAAAGTAATGGTTTCTAATCTATGTAATTTCTTTATGCTTGTGGGTAAACAGTATTTCTTGTTGTCTCTTTGTCAGTGTTAATGTGGAGATTGTCTGGTTTGCCTACTCTGGAATATGCAATATTTCATTGTCCTTCTTTAGGGGTCCCTTTCAAATCTATGATATTATATCTGTGTGTGTGTGAATCATATATATCTATCTATATCTAGGGCTGGATGGCTCTTTGTCAGGAGGGCTTTGATTAGATTTTCTTGCCCTGGTGAAGAGAGTTGGACTGGATGGCCTTAAGAATGGGGGTTCTGTGTGGGAAGTTTGCTCCAATTCCGTCGTTGGTGGGGTTCAGCATGCTCTTTGATTGTAGGTGAACTTTGATTGTAGGTGAACTATAAATCCCATTTTCTGTTGGTGATGGGGTTCAGCATGGGAAATTTGCACCAATTCTGTCATTTGTGGGGTTCAGAATGCTCTTTGATTGTAGGTGAACTATTAATACCAGTAACTACAACTCCCAAATGTCAAGGTCTATTTCCCCAAACTCCATTTGTGTTGATATTTGGGCATATGGAATATTTGTGCCAAGTTTGGTCCAGATCCATCATTGTTTGAGTCCACAGTGGTCTCTGGATGTAGGTGAACTACAACTCCCAAACTCAAAGTCAATGCCCACCAAACCCTTCTAGTCTTTTCTGTTGGTCATGGGAGTCCTGTGTGTCACCTTTGGTTCAATTCTATCATTGGTGGAGTTCAGAATGCTCTTTGTAGGTGAACTATAAATCCCAAGAACTACAACTCCCAAATGACAAAATAAAAAAAATTGAGTGAAGGACATACATTGGGTTGTTAGGTGTATGCTGTCCAAATTTGGTGCCAATTCGCCCACTGGTTTTTGAGTTACGTGAATCCCACAAACGAACATTACATTTTTATTTATATAGATTAAAACCAAAAAGTTTAAAAAATTTAAACATGGAGACCAAGAATTAAAACCACACAATCCAAAATCATAGTCCAGGAGCTGTTTCCCATTCCCAGATTAAAACAGAGCATAGGTTATGTTGGCTCACAATTGTATTTGTGAGTCTTTCATGATTTTTAATCCCAAAAATATAACAATCTTTCTATAAGGGTCTTCTTGTGCTGTTTGTTTTCTTCATTAGGATTTTCCAAAAGGGAAATGGAACATCTTTTTTCATCCATGACTATCAACCCCTTTTCAAAGAGGTTATGCATTTGAGGAATTGTTTCATTTTGAGAAAGGGAGAAACTAGCAGAAACCATTATCTGATATTTCTGATCAACTATGCTTCACTTAACATTCAGCTCCTCGACTCATTCAGAGCAGAGAGAAATGGAAGGTATTGTCCTGAGTATGTTCTCTGTTCTTAGAAATGGGAGGGTTGTGGTACATGAGAAATGCAGTAAAAATTGTTTACAAGCGGGGAGGGAAGACTACAACAAAAGGCCTTATTGCAGTGATGTTCTTGGCGTTTCCAGGAGATGCCAAGAGGAACATTTTGTACCGAGGAAAGGCTCCTCTGCCGCTCTTCCCTCCCAAGTGCTACAATTTGTACATGAACTCTAATTATGTACAAACAAATCTCCAGCCAGTCATTCCAGATTCAGACAGCAGAAGGGAAGCTTCTTAAATAACTTGGAGCAAATCGCATAGCAAATACAACTGCTCTGAGCCAAAAGGGAGCCATGCCGCATGCCAGCACTTCGACTTGGCGTACTTCACAATTGTGTGTGCTCATAAAGCTGAAACTAGCACATTCTGGGACATACTATCTGCAGTGTGGCTGAAACCAGACTGATAAACCCCTTGTGTGATTGATTTGGAATGGTTCCATGGCTCTGTTTGCTGTGCTAAAGGAGGAGGAGAAGCAACAGTCGGGCTTTGGGGTGGATTGTTTTCCATTTGTGTTTCCCTGAAAGGCTTCTAAGCATTTAAGACTTGTGTGGCAACTGACGGCTCCACTCATGAAGCTTTGTCTTCAAAGTCAGCTGCAAGAATGGAAGCAATTTCACCTGCTGAATTTTGGGGTGCGGTAGCTCAAAACAAAGGCAACTCTGTCTCCTCAAAGAGCCCTTGCATAAGATAGCTGTATGGGCATACCTTCCAAATCAGAAAGCATCTCAGTCGGGACCCAATGTAATATTTGTTAAAACCCAAAGATCAGGTTTGCACGGAGCTCAGAAGGTACATTTTGGGTTGTGAGTCCTAGAAGCTTCTGACCAGGGATTCTGTGGATATTTTTCGAAGCTCTGGGATTGCAGTATAGAATCAAAGAGTTGGAAGAGACCTCATGGGCCATCCAGTCCAACCCCCTGCCAAGAAGCAGGAATATTGCATTCAAATCACCCCTGACAGATGGCCATCCAGCCTCTGTTTAAAAGCTTCCAAAGAAGGAGCCTCCACCACACTCCGGAGCAGAGAGTTCCACTGCTGAACGGCTCTCACAGTCAGGAAGTTCTTCCTCATGTTCAGATGGAATCTCCTTTTTTGTTTGAAGCCATTGTTTCGCGTCCTAGTCTCCAGGGAAGCAGAAAACAAGCTTGCTCCCTCCTCCCTGTGGCTTCCTCTCACATATTTATACATGGCTATCATATCTCCTCTCAGCCTTCTCTTCTTCAGGCTAAACATGCCCAGCTCCTTAAGCCGCTCCTCATAGGCTTGTTCTCCAGACCCTTGATC